AGGACCAAAAAAAAAAACACATCCTAATATTTTTTACTGATGTTTTGAACACTGCTCCAATGTGTTCTTCTGTTAGTATTATGTACTAAGTCTGAGCACTAATTACTGAAATAAAAAGATAATTGCACTAGTATGAAACAAATAGAAATCATAAATTCAATTAAGCAGGGTTTCTGCAGGATTTTTAAGCTCAAATTTAAGACTTTAAGACCTGAGAAGCATGAATTTGAATAGCTAGCATGAATTTGAGTGTTCGAGGGGGTGTCAGCAACCTCCATTTAGCCTTAGGTGCGCAAAACAGTTCACTGTGCTGCTGGATGTTGTAAACTAGTATTTGTATTCAAATTATTTTACATGTATTAATGTACTAATAAACAAACATATTATCGCAGACCATACATATCGCACACCCCTATTCTGTTTAGATTGTTATAATGCATTGTCTTCTTATCAATCCACCAGTTCACATTTAAAGCTCCTGCGTGTTTGCAGGGTCAAAACATGGGTCAATTTTCGCATTGGTCTGAACTCTGAACCAAACAACAGTTTTATTGAAAATGCTCCTTCATTCTGAAAGCAGGTGGAGCGTTTGGTAGAAATATAACTGTTTCCCCGGTAACTGCTGTACACAAAGCAGCGCAGCACCGGACTTTGAAAGTGCAGCGCTCGTGTTTATTTAATGAAATCATAGCCTTTTGAAGTTTAATAGTCACATTAAGCCATATCAAATTTAAGACCAAATTTAAGACCTCCTGAAATCATAATGAGTGTGTGAGGCGATGTCAGCAATCTCCTTTTAGCCTATTTAGCTGTGCAAAACAGTTCACTGTGCTGCTGGATGTTGTAAACTATTTTTTGTATTCAAATTATTTTACATTTATTAATGTACTAATAAACACACAAATTTGTGCCGCAATTTTTTTTACCGTTTACTGCACTTTGTTAAGTGGGTTACACATCAGACGTGATAGTCACATTAAGCCATATCAAATTTAAGACCAAATTTAAGACCTCCTGAAATCATAATTAAGACTTTCTTGTACAATTTAAGACTTTTTATGGCCTTATATTTCATACAACTAAATTTAAGACATTTTAAGACTTTTTAAGACCCTGCAGGAACCCTGATTAAGGGTCTATGAAAAAAGTTACAGAAAAAAATTTGCATTTAAAAAGCAGGACACATTTCCTACAACACATCTTACTGACCCCGAACCTTTAAACAATAGTTTACTTATACATGCCACAAAACTACAAATAACCATAAACTTGTATTGCGCAAAACAATGCTTCACAAAAAAATAGTGCCCTACGGATTAATTGCATAATGATCAGAAGCATTTCTTTAAAAATGTCTGACTGGAACGCAAATTTACTGACTCACACCATGTCTACACTGCAAAAAAATTATGTGCATCATAATGCACTGTTTGCTAACATCCCCTCTGAGAATTTTTGTCAAAGTAAGAAAAAAAAGTCAACTTTGGTATGACTAATCGACAGTGTTGGGCAAGTTACTCTGAAAATGTAATCAAATTACCTCTAGATTATAAAACACTGCATTCTGTCAGCAATGTAGCGCGGCAGTAACGTATAGAGACCTCGGCTTGTAACTATACTCTAATTACTATTTTGAAAATTATAACGCGCTAAATTACTCCGTTACTAAAGAAGTAATCAAATTACAGTAACGCGTTTCCAAGTAATGCATTACTGCCCAACATTGCTAATCGACCATCCTAGCCCAACAATTCCAGGTAAGTTCATTTAATTCATCAAGTTCATTTCCTAGATGTAAAACCATAAAAAGTTTTTTTTGCTAGTTTTAAAAGTGAACTAGCCATCTGGAAAAGATGTAGTTTAAGAGCTGTGGTTTGGCATCTATAGATCCGTTGCCCTCAACCACGTACATTTCGGCCCACAATTATAAAGGAACGCTCCCAACAATCAATACAGGGGCCTTTTTTAATCTCAGAATACTGTTAATTACAAATGGCTGTTTGAACGATTTCAAGTAATTTTGCCTTAATTAAAGAAAGCTAAATGGTGTGGTCATGAATGGTCTTCAAAGGCCGCATACTTCATTAGAGGAGCCAGAGTGAGAAGAAAGAAACACAAAACAAGTGAGGGGTGGAAGATAAAGAGGAGGAAAAGAAAGGGCACTTGCCTTTTGAGCTAACTCTGAGGCCCTCTGTTCAAACTCTTCAGCCCTGGCTTTATCCACACACACCTCTGCGGAGAAACCATGGAGAGATTAACCATTTAAATTCAAAGTAAACAAACCAAATAAATTCAAAGATAAAAGCATACACACCTAACAGGTGGCTGAAGTCCACATCCAAACGTTTGCGGTAGGCAAAGTCAGGATCTGTGCCGCTACGATGAAGGACGATTTGAGACACACACTCCTCTATGATCTTAAAATACTGAGGCCTAGAGGACAGAGAACAAGAGAGAATACGAGGGAGTGATGAGGGAAGAAAAATCAATGCATTGTATTATCTTTTTGGGAATACGGTACCACTGACTCAGGCACAAAATGAGAAAATTTTTTAAATTAACTCTAAATCCTCTGACAGTAGCAATACTGGCTTATACAAGCCATTAACTAGTGTAATGAAAATGACTGAGTCCTTTAAATCTGCGATGCTGCTCGACACTCACATAAAACCGAAAGAGAGATATAAAATGGAAAGGGATTTGGAGAGAGACATAACAAAAGTGAGAAGGGATGACGTATGAGATATGGTAGAGTCGAGTGAGCTCATTAAAACTGCAGTCAGGCAATAGATGTGCCCAACTCCACACCTGGAGTTTTGCGTTTCTATCCCTGTTATGATAATGCAAGCTCATCACTTTCATAGTTATATATTTGAATTAAAAAACAGAAGTAATATTTGTTTGTATATTATAAACTGGGTTGACATGTTTAATATCTCTAGCCTTTGTGACTGAACACAGAGAAAATTTGAGAGGTTTTTCTTTAAAAAAGTTAAATTAGCAGAGCTTTGGAGGGGAAAGTGGAAATAATTTGAATCAATCAGACTGAGGTGATGCTCTTTGATCTGAGGTGATCACTCTGACCTTTCACAGGCATCATTTCTCAAGGCACTGTGAAGCTGATGCCCAAAATAAACCATAATAATGTCTAAAATTAAAATCTGTCTCAGTATTCTAGTGCTAATAATCATGTTCACTAATTGATATATTTGACTACGGCACAAATAAAGTACCAAAATCAACCACATAGTGAAATATCAAATATGCTTTACATACATTAGGATTATAAAAATCAGGTGACCATATTTTCAGTTTTAGAGTGAGTCAGCATTAAGGGCACATGAATCAACATTCCCTGACCATAAAAAGAAAAAAAGTGTGTAGTCATGGTACACTCTTTTCCATAACGACTCAGAAAGAGCTAAACAATCACTCTTTGACTTGAATAGCACACCAACTGGCATATGAATGTGTATATTAATGAAGTAGGTATACATTGCCTATCTGCAGTGGTTTTTAAAAACTGAGTAATATATCCTGTGTTCTACATATTAGGAGCCTGCCTTTTGATCAAGACCAGGTTTAACACACCCCCAGCTGTGAGCTCAAAGACATGAAAACTCTCTTTAAGCAGACGCCACAGATGAAAAGAGAGAGCAAGGAAGAGAGAGGGTATATAGGGAACGGGAAGAGTAATGTGGGCATGTGAGATGAGAGGAAGATGAAAGCAGGTCCATTCTATTTGTCGGACACTGTCATTGGATGGTTTGGGGGGGAATAGACCAGCAGGGCGTTTGGACTGCCTGTGTAGAATAAATAGCATTCATGGACAGAGTTTAGAAAGAAATGTTCATGAGGTGAGAAGAGCTTACTGGGACGACTGGGGCCGTTTAATAAAAACTGACCAATTTACCAGCAGGACTCGAGGAGTAGACACAGCCAAGTTATGTTTGGTTGGTCAGAGCAGAATTTATATTCAATTTAGAAACAAGTAAAGAACGCTTTGGGATACTAATATTTTCAGGATTAACTGCAGCCAGGTCTTCCCTCCAGATCTCTATATAATAAACTACAATTTTAATAATTTGTTCATGCTGATGAATACAAATCTACCTGAATTATTGCAAAATACATAAAATTGTATATGTATACAAATTAATACAATTCTATTTTAATTTATAAATATTGCATAACATTTTACACACATACATATGATAGACAGACATTCAGATAAATAGATAGAAAGAACAAAGGATAGATAAAAGATATATAACGAAGAACACAGACAGATGAAACGATTGAAAGATTGATAGAGCAGCAGAACGATTAAACGATCGGTAGAGGGAACGACAGAGTGAACGAACAATCAATAGAGTGAAAGATAGACAGAAGATATAGCGGAAGATATAGAGATAGATATAGACAGATCTCTCTAAGCAGAACAGGCGCTTCTTTTCTCCTGTACCGGCGCTCAGCAGATGGTCTCTATCTTTACACCTCTATTTCCCTTTGCACTTCTCTCTTCTGTCAAAGCTGTTATTCTTAACACAATACCGCTCACTGGCTAAAGAGCTTGAAAAGCTGTTTTCCAACACACAACCCACTGAGTCATTAGTGAGACCTTAATGCCGTGAGATATGTGCCATTGCATCACTGGCACTAAATTAGTCTGAAATTAATAAAAAACCTCAGACTAGGTTAGAAAGGGAGGAGAGGCGGCATTTTCATGAAAATTCATGAATACAAGATGAATGTAACATGACTTGTAAGGGCCTGAGTTTCTTTTCCTTTAGGTTTATGAAAAGTCCTTGTGTGTATAATACCATTCAAAAGTTCAAACACACCTACTCATTCTTTAAAATCATTTGAAAATGCATACATTAGTAATAATAAATGCAAAACGAACAAACTGAAAGAAACAGAAGCATGGGAATGCCGTAGTAGTAATAATTAAATAAAATGTTTAACTAGTCAAAAAGATTTTAAGTAGCGACCCTCTGTCTACATTACATTCCCACTTGTTGGGTGCTTTTTTATTCACTCTTCGGTCAACTTTAAAATAAAATAAAATAACCCTTACTGTGTGAAATAGTCATTCCTGACCAGAAGCAGGTGCTGTAGTATGGAAAGAAAATGGCTCTCAGTGCTTGTGTCCTTCACAGAGGAGTATAACACATTAAAGACATCTCCAATATCAGTACGCACTGTGTTAAGGAGCAAACACTGCAACTGGCAAAATAAAAGCAAAAAATGGAAACATACAGAAGAAGAGAGTGTACACACTCTTTATACATGCAGTGTAGACAAAAAGACAGAGCAAAGAACTACTGACTAGCCTTGTCACAGCATGAGACTTGTGAAACATTGCTAATGAAAGCAAATGATTCAGGATGATTTATAGTTATGATTAAATCTAAGAAAACAGCATCAATACAGTCTATACATCAATGCATGGTTTTTGAAGATATTATTACAGTCTGCATATGACCAACATATTGTTGGAGTTGTTGGAGGTCCTCTAAGGATCAAAGAATGAGTGGGAGAAAGAAAGAGAAGACGACACAAGGGAGGGAGAGTTTTCTGAGGAGCGTTTAAGTGTGGACAGAATATCAAATGAAATTGCATGCATCTCAGCATCAGAAGGATATTCTAGTTCATTCCTGATGTCCTCCAGGCGATGGGAGAACTCAATCATGTCCTCCTCCTTGTGCTCCTCGAAGACCTTCAGCTGGATATCCAGAGCATCATTTTTTACAGCGTTCAGGCTCTACACAGTGTGAAGGGCAAGGGGAAACAAAGAGAAGAAAAGAACAAATTAAATGGACCATGCCACAGAAAACACGATATTCCTTGATCTTTTGAATAAATACTTTGATACAGTACTATGTAGCCACAGAACTCAAAGTTCCCTGTTAGTCCACCCAAACTATTGCTGGAAACTAAAGGCAAGTGCACACTACAAAAATGAGGTGCGACAAGACTTCATAATTGACTAACATAGTCTGGAATTAGTTGTGTACAGTGTGCACCAACACAACAGAAATCAATAAACTGCAAATGTTTTACTATTCTTATGTACACTTGGCCTAAGCTGCAAAAAAATATGAAAAAAAACAACAGTTCTGATGTCAGAATGACAAGCACATTAACACATTTACACAAACAACTAGTCAGTATTCAGAAAACTGGTGGGAGTTTTGTTGCTTATTTCATACACAAAGAGGTTAGCCAATTAGAATAGAGGTCAACTACTTATAGAAGTCTTACAGATATAGTAGCAAAAACAGCAGGTATAATTCTAAGGAGCAGCTAGGAAAAGAAATTGAGGGAAAAATTATACACAACTGCTTTTGTTGCAAGAAAGCATGACTAACATTTTAAGTGGACTTTGAGGGGAAAATAAGACAAATATGTGGAATATTAGGCACTTTATGAGACAGAAAAGAGAAACCGTGACAAAACACTATTTTCAAAAATGTGTATTTAGACAGAGAAAATAATAATTTCACTTTCATTCCATCTCTTTGTATTCCCTAGTCCTGTTTCTGAGGCAGCTTCTGTTTTGAATAATAAATAAGACATGCGTGAGGCATTAATCTATCTCACTTGCTCACTCTCTGGCTTTCATTTCACACACTTCTGTTTTGTTCAGGCAGTTTTCAGTTGTTTGCTGATAGAACATAACCACATTCAGAATGCCAAGAGGAGACAGACTAAGAGAAAGAGAGACCAATCCAATCCTGGCTGTAGGTATTGATTCAGCAGAGCGACCTCTCCTTCAGGCCTCAAATTATTTGCAGACCCATTTTACAATATTTCACTCAAGTGGACAACTCATTTAAATATTAATACACACAGGCAGTGGTCGAGCCGCTTACCGGCAGAATCTCTCGCAGGCCGCAGCGCATAAATTCATTTCGGATGTGCAGCCTGAAGTCCAACTCATCAGGAGACGTTACGAGGGCATTGATGAGCTGCATGCAAGCCACCTAAAGGAAGAAGATAACATTCAGTAAGAGTATGCTGTGTTTATACATATGCAGAGTCTGAGAGTATGCATTTGAATTATGTGTAACCGTGTTGAGATACTAAATAGATTATTTGGATTAGGATTGATTAAATTGAATTTTAAGAACCATTTAAGTGAGAGAAGAAAAACAAAAGGTGAATTAAAAATAATAATAATCATGTAAAAGTAATGGTAACCAGTTGAAGAATTTTAAATATACAAGGTCCCTTATACATAAATACACTACCAAAGTACTAATCAAAAGTTTAGGAATGGTACTTTCTTTTCAGCAGGGATGCATTAAATTTATCAAAAGCGACAGTGAAAACATTTTTCATTGTTAGAAAAATTATATTTTATATAAAAGCTGTGCTTTTGAACTTTCCGTTCAAAGAATCCTGGGAAAAAAATATATCACGGTTTCCACAATAATAATATTAAGCAACACAACTTTTTTGAACATTGATAATTAGAAATGTTTCTTGAGCACCAAATCAGCATATTAGAATTATTTCTGAAGGATCATTTGACACTGAAGACTGGAGTAATGGCTAGTGAAAATTCAGCTTTGTCATCACAGGAACGATCTGTAATTGATGTCAGTGAGTTTTAATTAGCCTTGACATTTTTTAATTTTTTTTGACAAAGCTCGAAAGCAAAAGTTCATGGCCTTGAATGTCTCACTGAAGCTTCAGGGCTCCAGAATGCGACCAAATGGTCGCATTTTGCAACCATTTTTTCTGCCTGTGCGACTAAATTTTGTGAGCGGTCGCACTGGTACGACCACCGCGTTGTTCAACTTATAAGCGCTGCCATTTCTATTGCATATGAGAAACATCAAACGGCTAACGAAACTGAAAGCATAACGAAACTGCGGTACTCGTTTGAGCTGCGCAGCGCTTCGATTGTAGAGCCTGGTTTATACTCGCCGCGTCAGAAAGAGAAAGAAGGTGCGCGCAGCTAAAATGATGCGAATATTGAGGAAACGATGGATGGTTTTCATGCTAAAGTAAAGTAAAAGACCGCTTCTTAAACCAGAGAGGGTGAACATGTTGGTATTCTTGTGGGAAAAATCATGCAAGCACTGTCACCGATAGCAAGTTTAGTTTTACTTTTCTTTTTGTTTTCATTTTGAAAAGCTTGTTATATTTGCGGTTTACCTCACGTTACGCTATGAAGGCTCTCTTTTATTATTTTTATTTGATTCCTCACTGTTTGCTAAACGTTCTGTCATTTATTAGTCTGTATAGAATACAGCATGTGATGTTTGCCATCTTATTCGTTTTTGTTAATAAACGGTTTGTAAGCTTGTTTACCATTACTGTTTTATTGTTGTTGTGATTTTTAATTAAGAATAACAATGAATCCATCTTTTGTTTTAGTTTTAAAAAGTGAAAGGTGTGTAGATATGTAAGCAAAACAGACAATTATCTTTTCTCGTAAAACGTGACAACAAGATCGCGAATTCAAAAGTGAAAGCATCCGAAGCCCGGCTCATAACACAGCAAAAGAGGATCTCCCATTCACAAAATCAAATCACAAATAATAGGCTACTACTGATGAAAATTAATGGGTTGAATGTTAACCACTTTCGTTTACATATAACTATAAACTATGATAAAAGTTCATCAGCATGTATTGATTAATCTCATGTTGTAGCCAAAAAAAATTGTAGCAAAAAAAAATTGCGACCAACTGAGAAAGTTAGTCGCAAAAGAGCGACCAGTGGGAATAATGTGTCTGGAGCCCTGAGCTTGTTTTGAAGGGTAATGTATATGAGACTGCAGTTTGAACCTGTTGAAGTGCATTACTGTGGTTTATGACTCTCACAGAGCTCTCAACCAACATAGAGGATTCCATCACCTCAGTCAAAAACTACTATTCATCTCCTCAAGCAACAAAGATCATCAATTATTGATCAGCGTTCTCCATGACACTCTAAATCACACGTGTGTGTGAGGGAGTGTTTAGTTAAAAGTAACTGATGCATTCAGGGAACTGAGCTGTATTGAACAGACAGTGAACTGTCTGTATAGCTCTGTGTGTCTGTACCTCCTGTTCACATCATGTCTGATGATGCAATAATTGATTATTAGACAACAAACCACACCAAATCCAAATTATTTATAGTGGTGAGTCTCAACTTAACAGGCTGTGATGGCACAAGGCTGGTTACCATTCTAGTAAGGATTTGTCAAATAGATTCATACAGCAACAGTAGAGTTTTTTTCTTTTCAAATTTACTGATTGTGCTGTATGATTTGGATTCACTATGTTCATAAGTATAATCAATTTTAATAACAATCAGGACGCTACACACATGATTTAATCCATTCATTAAAGGATTCATCAGCTATTCATACAGTAACTCCTGAGTTCATGAGTCTTTTGAAAGATGCACTAAATGGACAGACTCACAGGACTGCTGTATTATTATGATTCATTAAAAAGAACTGGTTCATAAAAATCACCGGTTGATTCATCGAAAATTCAATATTTTTACTCAAATGTAGGGATGTAACGATTACCGGTTTGATGATAAATCATGATAAAATTCCTCACGGTTAGTATTACCGTTTCATCTTTTAATTATCATTAAAACCGTATTAGATTACCGCGATTTGAACAACTCGCGATAAATAAATACTGTCCAGCATAAAGCACAGTTTTAAGTAACAGTCTCACGTGCGCACAGCACGCAGAGTAGTTTTGTTTTGAGTGAAAACAGGGCGGAAAAGGTTTACCCTTTTATTAAACTTTTTCAAAGCTTTATTTGAACATTTACATTAGATATTTCAACATGCTATTAAACTGTTGTCAGTCAAGTTGTCATTTAAAATCCGAACATCATTGGTAATGTTATTGTTTTAGTGATTATGCAAACAAATTTTATTTGATGTTGATTTTTAAATATAAAACGAAGTGATTTGTGTCGGTACTTTTTTAACATCTCCAGCACATTTTAACAATACCATGATAATACTGAAAACCGCGATAATTTTGGTCACTATAATCGTGATAAGAAATTTTCATACCGTTACATCCCTACTCAAATGTTTATAATTCTTAACGCAAGGCTCAAAACAGAAGAAGATACTGAATAAAAATGAATCTGTAATGATGGGCTGTATATTTATGATATTTTTCACAGCAAAAAGCAAGAAAAAAATGGGCAGAATAAGTCTTTCACAGGCAAAACCCTTTGATTTAAGAGCCGATGACACTGTATTATTCATATTTGTGTGGCTCAGCGGTTGAACTGTGGGAGGAATCTCAGGGAGGAAAGCCTATGAGCCTATAAGAGACACTTGCTGACAGCTTTCATGAGGGAAAAGAAAAACATATCTGCCATTAATAACTGTACCGTCTTCTTAATCTGCCTACTTCACGTGCCTGGCGAGAGACGGGAGTGGTAAGAGGACAGAATGCAGAGAGAAAGAGAAAATTTATTCCTGTGAGAATCACTCACTCTCCATTAGCTCAGAGTAATACAGTGCTAAAATAAATATCCACTAGACACAGACATGAAAACACAAATTATGTAGTGATAAGAAACATGCTGAATCATTTACTAACTCTCATGGATGAGCACACAGACACATGCAAAACGAAAAGACTTGGTATCCTCAAGCTCTCTTGAAAAATTCCTCAAAATAAACCTCTCCAGTGCAGCCTACGGTCGACCCTGAACTGCCTCTCACTCCTACAGAAACAAACTGAACTTTATGCAGTCTGGGTGTGTATCTCTAAGAGCATCTATTTGAAGATACAGCCCCTAAATATCTCCAGCAAGAGCAGACGAGAGGAGAGAGAAAGAGAAACCCTAAAGAAAATTGTTCCAAACTGTTCCCAGCTATAACAGTCTTTGATAAATGATTCATACGGTTAAAATAGATCACAGCTGACTATTAGCAAACAGAAACAATAACCAGTCAATCAATAAAACATTACTAGAGGCCTCTAAACACACCAGTTGGCCTTCATGGATATAAACCAGCATGCCTTGGATATTTTTTGGCTAATTTTCTCCTCTCATTTCAACAATTCCTGTCTAATGGAGAAAAACCGGCCAATAAGGGGCCGTTTCCTGTGTGACCTGCTATTGTAGCACATGCAATTGCTTCGTATTAACTATTAAACACTATAAAAAGCTTTTGGACTGGAAGAGGAATTATTTGTGCATAAATTCAACCTAAACATAATATTTTGCAGTCAGCGCTCCAGAGCCGCAACACTACTAAAGATTTTGCACTCTGCAGGTCACAGCAAAGCATTCAATTCTTTCATTATGTTAAAAGAATATATTTTTAGATGCAATATTAACTCCTGAGTAAGTGGTTTATCCTGAATGCAGGATATGAGAAAGCATGTGAACATGCTCTCTCTATGCATGTTTGAAGGGAAAGCTCAGTTCCTCTCTTTCACCTCCCTCTGCTACCAATTAAACTAAAACATGGCTGCTTTGATCAGCCTCAACAATGAAGCCATGCAGTTAAGGCAGACGAACCAGTGCATTTCATTCTGTAGGGCCAGCACTCTGCAGAGGAGCAGGGCAGGTCTCGAGTATTAGCATGCATGCCACAATTAAATGCGTGCACGCATTTGCATACTGCAAAAAGAGAGCCCAGAGCCAGTCATAACTAAACTTTTGTTTTTAAGATTTTTTTTTTTTTTACAAAATTAATACTTTACAGAGAGACAGAAAGTTACACTGACCAACAGATAGACAGATGATAAAACAACAGATAGAATGAAAGACAGACAGACAGACAGAGAGAACAAAAGAACAGATAGAACAAATGGCACAGAACGATGGAATGACAGAACGAAAGATAGATTAATCAATAGACAGAACAATGGATTGATAGAACGATGGATAGAATGAACGATAGAACGACAGATAGATAGATTAGATAGATAGATCGACAGATAGATAGATAGATAGATAGATAGATCGACAGATAGATAGATAGATAGATAGATAGATCGACAGATAGATAGATAGATAGATAGATAGATCGACAGATAGATAGATAGATAGATAGATAGATCGACAGATAGATAGATAGATAGATAGATAGATCGACAGATAGATAGATAGATAGATAGATAGATCGACAGATAGATAGATAGATAGATAGATAGAACGACAGATAGATAGATAGATAGATAGATAGATAGATAGATAGATATAGATATAGATAGACAGACAGACAGATGGATAGATGGATAGATTTTAACCCTTTAATTATTCAATGATAAATTATAAATGACCTATTCATTTTTTACATCTTTTAGTGCTCTGATTTAGTCATGATCTATTCCGTTATTAGAGTCAATCACGGTTTATAAATGTAGAATATTAAATGAAGGTGATGTAAATTTTCTATTGCTGGAGTACTTAAGAAAACTGTTTATTACAAGATTTGTGGTTTACAGACCCTGACTCACGGTGCACTTCTGTCTCATTTGAGGGCACAGCAAGGTTATTATAGTTTTGAATTTTTAAATTCGTTTTATTTTAATATCGTTTTCAAATTTGCCATAAAATTCAGTTTAGTTTTTATTAGTTTCATTCATATTTTTGTTAGTTTTAGTTTAGTTTTTATTTTGTGAACGCATTTTTATTTAGTTTTTATATAGTTTAGTTTCAGTTTTAGTTTCAGTTTTAATTAAAGTTCAGCAGAATTAACAGATCACTTCCAGAGCACAGGCCAAAGAAAGACGTAGGCATAATTTAACCTTAGTGAGGCAAAGATATAGCGACACAAAATAAACTTTTAAGATTGCTTAGGTAGTAAAAGTATACAAATACACGCCAAAGAAAGCAGGCAAGCCTTTTTTTACTAAATTAATCTACACAAGTCGCGCTTAATGTCATATCCAATGATGTGTGTTGAGATATTTAGTATGAAAATAAATGTAGCCTGATGGTTGGTTGGTCATATATCTTTTCTTATTTAACCATAATCATGATATTGTAACTGTGGTGTCTTGCTCAC